CGTAAGTCGAAAGGGTGGGTTAGAATTTGTAAATAAACCTATGTGTGTAATAGAGTATAATAAATATATGGGAAGTGTAGACTTAAAAGATCAGCTACTAGAAACATTCTTGTGTAGAAAAGAAAAGGCAAAAAGCGTGGTACAAGAAATTATTCAACCACTTAGTAAATACGGTAGTGTTGAATGCTTACATTCTGTACTGCAAGGCTGGTAACAAGAAAGATCATCTGTTATTCAGAATAAACTTAGTGAATAAGATCATAGCAAAGTCCCATGGACAGAATTTAGAAAAGCGCAAAGGGAGTCCTTCAGATACTGACATGGAATGTACGAGATTGACGGGTCAGCATTTCATTCAAGAAAATCCCAAAACCGAAACTTATAAAGTTTGAAGAAGAAGGTGTGTGGTGTCTACACAAAACGGAAAGAGAAAAGAAACCAGATACAGGTGTAAAAACTGCCAGGGACACCATCTCTCTGCATAGACCCCTGTTTTGAGCAATGCCACACCAAGGTAAACTACTAGACACTGGATATGGAGAGCTGGGAAAAAGAAATAGCCTGACAAAATGCAAATAGATATTTATAATAATGAACTGTAAACAACTGTAAATATAATATAATTTTTGTAATTTTTCAAATGACGATTTTGTTACTTAAAAATATTTAGGTAAATGTCTGTACAAAACCTTCAATGCTTGTGAGAATAAAGCACCGGGAGGGATTTAAATACCCCCGCTTAAACTCACGCTAGAAGCATGTAACTGAGCGGACGCATACGGTGTGTCGCACATGCTTGAGGGGTTAATTTAATTCACATTTTAATACAAAGTTCTGTGGTTAAAGGGGGGTTCTGGTTTAGCATAAAGAGCAGTGTTCTTAGTCTAGTTCATATTAATCCTTGTTAATTTAAGATTTTCCAGTTTAGGGGAGAAAATATATTTTTTATTTTTCTGCTGCTTAAAAAATATGTTGAAATAAATGAAGAACAGGCATATAAACCATAGAAGTTTATGTAATAATTTTTGGATTTTCAAAGGAAACTTAGAATTTGTTCCCTAAGCACTGATATTTGAACTGAAATGATGGTCTGTTGATGCTATTTTTTTTTCTGGCTTACCAGCTCATCCAGTTAACAGTGAATGATTCAGAGTTGCATGCTACATTGTGACCATTTTGATGTTATTTTATGTAAATTTGCTCATTGAAAAGAAGTCCAATTTTATCCATCTGTCTCTAAAATAAAGAAAAGAATTCCTGAAATCTCTACATTTACCACCCAGCATTCTGAAAACATATTTTATAATCAGTGAGCTAAATATGCCATAAATAAAATAAATAGAACAGTAAATATACATGTATTTATAAGTTATATTTTTAATGGAATAATTAATTTGGAACTTGAAACACGATTAGTAAATTGATGTGTTTCAGATTTAATATTCATTATCATATGTAGTTTGCAGCACAGTTCTGCTGACATTTGAGCCAGGTGTTACATGTGCAAATTTATATATTTTATGATTTTGTGATCTTACATAAAAGGTAAAATTGTCACTGCAATTAAATAATTAGATACTATGCCATAAAGACGTACGGGAGAGTGAATGTCTAGACACGTTTTCTTGACCTCGGCACTAGTTGGAGGTGAGTGGTCAGCTTCATGCCCCAGCAGATTTGCCCCCAGGGAAGAGTCCCTGGTCCCCTTTTGATAGGAGGCTGAGTGGCCCCAGATTCGGTCTGGCCAACATGGGGAAGTGAAAATTCCGGAATGTTTTTATGCATGTTGTTCATTCTTCAGCATATGCAACAGATGCATGTTTAATATAATTACTAGTTAGTCTCTCATGAACAGTAATTTAAATATGAATTCAGAGATTCAATTTATTTAAACGGAAAATTGGGGATGTTTGTGCGTGAATTTTTGGTGAAAACCAAAATAGGCAAACATTAGTGCAAACAGAGCCCACTTTGGAGCTCCAAGCCATCCACATCTAATCAAATTACTGTCATGTGTATGCAACTACGTAGGTCGTACCGAAAGTCATGAGCAGCTTTTTTTTTGTATGCAACCTGGGAACAGCAGACGAAAGAGAGTATGGTGGTAGGTGGAACCAGCTGTTATGTTAACCTTGAGTGTCTTGTGACGTCAATAGCTTGCATCATGTGACCAGTATCACTCGTAACAAAATGGCCGACAACGATATGTCGTTTCGCCTGCGTGCTGTCATCGAATTTCTTGTGAAAGAGGAAATCCCTGCTGCAGAACCCTGCTCACCAGAGACTTCAGCGTGCTTATGGAAGTGTGCATGGGTGTGAGCAGTGTTTGAAGATGGGTGAAACATTTTGAAGATTGGAACACCAGCATCAAAGAGGAGCCTTGGAGCGGTCGTCCTCGAACAGCCTCAACTGAACGCAACAAGGAAAGAGTGGATGAGATCATTCAAGATGACAGGCATGTGAGTGTGGACACAATAGCCCGAAAAATTGGAATAGGGCACAGTGCAGTACAGGAGATGATTGAAAGTTTGGGCTATAGGAAAGTTTGTGCTCATTGGGTCCCGCGGTTATTGACCAAAGACCACAAAGATCAGCGGAAAGCCATCACCTCAGAACTGCTGCAGATATATCGACACGAAGACGATGAATTTTTGCTCTGTATTGTGACAGGTGACGAAAGCTGGTTTCACCATTTCGAGCCTGAAACAAAACGGCAAAGTATGGAATGGCACCATTTGCATTCTCCATCAAAAAAGAAGGCAAAGACAGTGCCATCAGCTGCGAAGGTGATGGGCACAGTCTTCTGGGATGCAGAGGGGTTTACTCTGTCCGAATTCCTGGAACCTGGGCAAACCATCAATGCTGCTCGTTATGTCCAGACGCTGCACAAACTCCGTCATGCATTGTGCGACAAACGTCCGGGATAAAACATAATCCCGCATGACAACGCTCACCCCCACGCTGCTTGCCTCACATTGGAAGCAATTGCAAAGATGGGGTCTGAAGTTCTTCCACACCCCTCCTATAGCCCTGATCTGGCACCCTCCGACTACCATCTTTTCGGATTTGTGAATGATCAGCTGCATGGACAACGTTTTGAGACAAGGGAGGCAATTCAGAAAGCAGTGCGTCAGTGTCTTCGGATGGCTGGAACAGAATTTTACAGAAGGGGAATTTTCAAACTCCCAGAAGGCTGGGAGAAATGTGTACAGAGAAGTGGCGATTATGTCGAAAAATAAAGAAAGGTCTGTAGATTGAGGTGGTGTATTTGGTTTGTCAATAATAAAGCATGTTACTTTACAAAAAATTGTTGCTCATGACTTTCAGTACAACCCTCATATTATGCCTTTCCTTATCATGGTTAATTGAGGGAAGTTAATGTTTTCTCAGTGGAAAATTAGCATTGATTGAGGTAAAAAGTAAAGCTGTCCCTGTGCTTAATTAAGTACCATGCCATAAAGACATATGGGGAGTGGAGGTATAGCTCCACCATTCTTGACCTTGGCACTAGGTGGTTAGTGGTCATCTTGATATCTTGACCAATTTACACCCAGGCAAAGAGCGCCAGATACCAATTGAGTAGGAGCCTGGGTGGACCCCAAAGATTGTCTGGACTCTGGAGCAGAGAAAAATCTCTGTCATCTGCAGGGAACCGAATTCAAGTTGTCCAGCCCATAGCCCCTTGCTATACCAACTGAGTTATCCTGGCTCCTATGCAGTGACTGAAAGGAAATAAATCATGGTTAAGGACTCTTTTAAACTGGATGTGTAAGAGCATGTTAGAGGATATGGAATTTTATAAAAAAGTGAAACATGCCTATTTGTAGACCCTTATTTACACTTCTGTGACATTAATATAAACTGTAGACAAAGTTACCTGAGCTGCTGACCATGTCTTGGAGACATTGTTAGTCAACAATAGGTTAAGCCCAAATATTACTGTCAGCACCTTGTTTTCAAATATGTTTCATTATATTGGCACCACAGGTAACTGCCAGGTGAGGTACAGACAACCATATATAAATCATGCCATTGTACCAGTTTCATGGGAATTGTAATCAACATGCTGAATGGACAAATGGACAAAATTAATGCATGGATACACCATATAGGAAACATGTCCAGTTCCTTATAAACACTAATTTTGGAATTTTATTTGCCTTACTGTCCAATTACTGATATTTTGTGATGTCTTTGTTTATTGTTTCAAAATACAAAATGCAGGATTACTTTATCAAATAACTCTGTGACCAGCTATTTTCAAGTAGAAGTAGATAGCATGCAGAATATTTATAATGTTTCTTAGATTAAATTTGTGTTCAGATAGACACTGCCTATTGACAAAAATGCCAAATTTTTAAATGAAAATTTTCAGTCACCATTTGATAAAAATAATAGACATAACACACCTAGATTGTAATATATAATACCTCAATATTGTACAATTCACTTGCTTTACCAAAACAACATTATGTTTGTATTATATATATTCCTGATTTTATGAACTGATAACTTTTAGTTTCTGTTGTTTCCTTTTATGTCTTTTTATGGTATTATTGGTTTTGCACTTATCTTATTGAATTTATGGACATCAAAATCGTTTCCTTATAATATTTTCGTATTAAAAGTCACTTCCTTAAAGATCTGTTCTGCATAAAAAATAAAGCATTGCTATAAATTTCATCTGTTGATTTTATGATAATGAAAAAGCAGAAGATTTTAAAATTAAGTAGTATTGTATTCTGTATAGTAGTAAATAATTTAAAATGCTTCAGTGTTGTTTTAAATTTCTTTCATATATCCACATAAATGTTCAGTCAAGAAGAATTAGAATTATAGATGAATTTGTTTACATAGAAACTATTTACTAGAGATATTAAATTGTTCAAATATAGAACTGGCAAAAAAGTTCAATAAATAATAACAAATCACACATTTAAATATAATATAATAACAAACTTTACACTTATGGTAATTTATTTATGCATTAAAATGCTATTTTGTATATAACTAATTTAATATTTGGTGTCTGATTTGTGGTTTTCCATTACTTTCTTTGAAACATATGTATTTTTTTAAATCTCTTAATTGTTTATTTGGTTTTGAAGTTTCTATCTCTTTTCTCTAATATCAATTGTTTACTGTATAAAAAACCTACTATGGCTATATATAACTTTCGTTCAAATGGATGATATATTTCTAGATACTGGAAGCGTAATGTTTGAAGTGGCAAAGATTGTGGCTAGGTTCTATACTGTTTTTCCTTTCATTTGTATGTTTATGCACCATGGAAACATTGTCGCATATACATCAGAGGCTGCTGGTTCATTTTCTGAACAAACTGAAGAATCCTCTTCCTTTTTCTGGTGGGGGTGCCATCAGCATGGGAACTTGGTTCTTGTGTGTTATATGGATCTGTTAGTAAATAGTAACAAATAATTATATTGAGATTTGAGATTCTCACTGTAGTGAATATTAAAAATACTCTCTTCTGGAATGTGGTGCCATATAATTTGATAGGTAGGTGTCATCATTTTGCAGAAACCTACCAGATTACACAGTATCATATCCCAGAAGGCCACAATCTTCAAATAGTTCTGTTGCTTTGAAGATAATATCAACAGGTCAATGACAGACAAACACTGTTGAGAGATTGGCATTGCTCCTATGTATCCTGACTGAGATGCTTACTCTAAGAAAGTACTGGGATGTTACCTAGACATAGACTACAACTGCTTACGAGTTTGTGTTCTTACCATTACATCACTCAAATCTGTTGAGAATCTAGTAATGTAAAAATGTTCAAGTTGGTAATAGTGATCTATATTCATTTGTTTTTGTTTTGTATTATAATAAAAAGTTTCTTTTCATCCAATATAGCTGTTAAGTGATATGTAAGCACGACACAAAGAAAATCAACAGGTCATGGGCCTAGAGTTGCTCAAAAACTGAAAAAGGAAAAAAAAAGAAGACAAGAAAAATAACGAAGAATTGGCAACCACAGAGACAGAAGAGATAACGCATCTGACAAAACTGAAGGACACCAACTCATTTCCACTGTGGGATTTTGAAATCAAAATTCTGATGCGTGCAAAAGAACTGATAAACATCGTTGATGGCAGCGACCTGTTAAGTGACCAAGGAAGAGACGAAGAAAATATAAGGAAATGGATGATGCGAGATGCAAAGTGCCAATACTACATAGTGAGAACGATAGAGAAACATGTGAAGACCCACATTGTGACATGCACAACCGCAAAAGAAATGTACGACACCTTGAAGCAAATTTATCAGCGAGACACCTCTCAACAGAAGTGCCTTCTGCTACAAGACTTCTACAACTTCAAGTATGACAAAACTAAGGATATGATGACGAATATAAGTCATGTGCAGAACATTGCCTTCAAGCTTTGTCAACTGAACCGAAATGTTGATGAAAACATGATCATGACAAAAATAACAATTCTACCAGAAGACTACAAACACTTCAGCACCGCTTGGGACTCAACGGCGACCGTGGGCAGAACCCTTGACAACCTGGTGGACAGATTGATGTTGGAAGAAGTGAAGTGCAAGATTACAACTAAAGAAGAGGAAAGCATAGCCTTTAAGACAGTAACTAAAACCAAAAGTAAAACCCCTTTCATGTGTTTCAATTGTAATCAAATAGGTCATGCCCAGATCAACTGCCCCAACAAAGGTAAGAGAAATTGCTCTATCTGTAAAAGGAATAATCACTCTGGAAAGGACTGTTACTTTAGAAATAAGGACAGTGATACGAGAAAGCAATGTACAGTATGTAAGAAAACGAACCATGCTGAAAAGGACTGTTATTTTAAAGATAGGAATAAAAGAAGCAGGGTCAATTTTCTAGCTGAAGCAGCAGAAACCCACGTGAGTGATGCAAGTAAAAAAGACAAAATGTATGTAGTGGATAGTGGCAGCACATGTCATATGAAAAATGTGAAGACTGATTTGATACATACTAAGCAGTATACTCAATGTATAGAGGTAGCAAAGAAAAATCAAAGTATGACTGCAAAAGAAATAGTCAATCTGGAATTTAAAGAGTGTGGTTTGAAAAACGTTTCATATGTTCCAGAACTCAGCAGAAACCTGCTGTCAGTGCACTGCATTACAGAAAATGATGGAGAAGTGTTGTTTACAGAAGAGAAAGTCCAGATACTGAAAGACAAAAATGTTGTAATCGAAGGAAAAAAGGCTGAAAATGGATTGTTTGTAATTAACTTTAGTGCGATGAATGAAGCTATGATGACTCAGCAAGATACAAGTGTAGAGTGGCATAGAAAGCTAGGTCACATAAGTTATGCGAATCTTAGGAAACTACAAGAGATATGCTAAGGATACCAGAAATTGTGAGCAAGTGTAAAAATTTTGATATATGTTCAGTCTGTATGCAGGCCAAACAAGTGAGACTCCCATTTGATACAGAAAGAAGTAGGGCTGGAAAGCCTTTAGAGATAATTCATAGTGACATGTGTGGACCAATTGATCCCACCACTTATGACGATAAGAAATATTTCTTTATGTGTGTAGATGATTATACACATTTTTGTAAGGTATACCTGTTAGAAAATAAGAGTGAAATGTATACCTGTTTGAAGGAATATGTAAATGAAGCTGAGTGTCACTTCAATACAAGAGTGAGAAGAATAAGATGTGACAATGGAGGGGAATATAAGAACAACGCCGTGAGAGAATGGTGTAAGAACAAGGAGATTGTAATGGAATTTACTACACCATATTCGCCACAGCTAAACGCACTGCCAAAAGGATGAACCGTACCATTGTGGAAAAGGCAAGAGCATTGATTTTTGACTCAGGTTTAAGTAAGAGAATGTGGGGTGAAGCTGTACTCACTTCTGCATACCTGCTAAACAGAAGTCCAACAGTGACAGTGAATGGAACATCAGCAGAAAATTGGTATGGTAAAAGACCAGATCTGGCTGGATTGAAGATTTTTGGTTCAGAAGTGTACATTAAAATTTTCAGACCATTGAAAAAGTTGGACAGTTGTTGCAAGAAAGGAATATTCGTTGGGTACAACACAAATGGCTACAGAATATGGGATCCAAATACTGAAAGGACCTATGTCTCCAGAGATGTGACATTCACAAGTAAATCTGTGACAACAAATAAACAAAATGAAATGGAAAGAGTGACGGATCCAGGAGACAAGCCAAATACTCCAGATCAGGAAGATAGCGAAATGCAGCAAGAACCCAAAGCTGACAACAATGAAGAAGAACCAACAGATACTAAAGAGGATGAAGAAAATGAAAATGCTGACCACAAGGATAATGGAAGGAAAAACAGTGGACAAAATGAACATGTATATGCATTGAGGCCAAGAAGAAACATTCAAATGCACCAAAAGTACCGAGACTATCACACAGAGAGTCAAAAGGAGGGTATCCTCAGCTATACATATGGCGAGTGCATTGAGAGTGAAGACAGCGAGAAGTGGAAGAAAACCTTTAAAGAGGAAAAGGATTCACTCTACCAAAACAAAACTTGGATATATGTATAGAGAGAAAGCAATGGGCAAGAAAATTCTGACCAGTAAATGGGTTTTCAAAATAAAGGATGATGGAATACACAAAGCCTGACTGGTTGTGAGAGGATGTCAACAAAAGGAATGGGAAATAGATTTCAAGGATACCTTTAGCCCAGTTGTTACATGAATTCTCTTAGAGTACTGTTTGCCATAGCAGCATATAAGAATATGAACATGCAAACCTTTGATGTGAAGACTGCCTTCCTGTATGGAGACCTTGAGGAGGAAAACTACATGGAGGTACCAAAAGGATACAAGAACACTGGCAAGATATGTCTCCTGAAAAAATGCATTATATGGCCTAAGACAAGCACCATCGCAATGGAACAAGAAGTTTGACAACCTTTCTAAAAGAAGAAGGCCTAAACCAACTAAAATCTGACAAATGCATTTTTAAGAATGGTGCCAATAGTTTGTTCATTGGCCATTCATGTGGATGATGGGATAATCATGGGAGAGGATGAAAGACAAATAGAGGATATTTTGCTGAAACTGGAAAATCAATTCCAGATAACAAAAACCACAAGTCCAAAGGTCTATTTAGGAATACAAATTGAGAGGCAACCAGATGGGATACATATCTCTCAAACCAACTATGCAAGCTAAATGTTGGAAAAATACAACATGCAAGAAAGTCGAGAAATGAAAACACCCATGGCCACGACCCCACCAACAAATGACGAAGGAGAAAATTACATAAGATTTCCTTACGGAGAAGCTGTAGGAAGCCTGCTATATATGACTTCTAAAACCAGACCCGATATGGCATTCGCTGTAAACGTGGAAAGTCGAACCTTGGAAAATCCTGACAAAATAGCTGTTCAGAATGTAAAAAGACCCTTAGGTATGTGAAAGGTACATGAGATTCAGGAATACAATATATCTCATCTGACTTGGAAACTGTGAAACTGGAAGCATTTAGTGATGCTGATTATGCAGGGGATGTAAAGGATAGGAAGAGTGTAACGGGATAAGTAATTATGATGTCGGGGGGCCCAATATCATGGTGCTCTAGGAAACATAGTATTGTTGCATTATCAATCACTGAGGCTGAATATATTGCAGCAGCTGAGTGCTGTAAAGAATTGAAATATCTAAAGACGTTGATAGAGGAGTTGACAGGGAAAGGGTGGAAGCTGAACTGTGTGCCAACAGTCAGAGTGCAATCAAGCTGATAGAATCTGGACAAGTAACGCGTAGGAGTAAGCACATAGACGTTAGGTATCACTACATACATGAACAACTGAAAGAGATACTGTTCTCAATCAAATATTGTAACACTGAAACTTAGGTGGCAGACATTTTAACAAAACCGCTATCACCAGAGAAATTTACCAAGTTTAGAGACATTATACTTAAGAAGAAATAAGTCTGATTTTGACAAGACTGAGAAAATTTTAATTACATGTACTAATTTTGTAATCTGAAGACCAAAATCACCAAGTGTTATTCAATTTAACTTTGGAAAACAGTTAATAATGTTGACAACATTTTGAAATTAAGGAGGAATGTTGAGAATTTAGTAATGTAAAAATGTTCAAGCTGGTAATAGTGATCTATATTCATTTGTTTTTGTTTTGTATTTTAATAAAAAGTTTCTTCTCATCCAGTATGGCTGTTAAGTGATATGTAAGCATGACACAAAGAAAATCAACAAAATCATCCTATTAACCTATACAGTTGAGAAATGTTCTGATATAAACAACTGATATCGTTGCAGTCAGCATTTTACCAATTTGAGAACAAATGGAAAAGATACCAGTGAATACATTATCAACAATGAGAAAAATCTTATATACATACATAAATTCAGGAGGAAGAGCTTTGGTTAGGACAGCTTAAGAGAGAGTCTTGTTGTTGTTGTTGTTGTTGTTGAAAAAGAATAATAATATAATAATAGTAACAATAATAATGATGATAGTGACAGTAGTTGTGGTGGCAGTGGGGCTGATGATGATATGGATAAGGAGAAAAAGAACCAATATTGTGACAAAGATGAACAAGGATGATTTTGTGATCTATTTTAAGGCGATTTTTTGTACCGTGCATGGTGGCTGCATCCATGGTTCTCCATCAATTTGCATGGGGAATCTCTTTCTGGTCCTTATCACAACAGACGAGCATTGTGCCAGACGACGACCTGAAGCTCTCAGCCCTGTCCTTACTTGCCCCATGTGCAGACAATTCTCCAGCCCAATGACTTCTATGAGACGATCTCCAATGTCTAAGAAACACAGTTGCAAGAAAGCAGATGAGTCAAGAATGCACTGAACGATTGCCATCATAAAGAACATACTGTGAAAACTGTATTCTCAGGAGTCCCAAACAACCATTCTTACAGAATCCATATATTACCTCATTGCACATGCTATACTCATCTTAATTTACAGAATTTATTTAATATCTTTGGGCTTCAGAATATAAGTACACAGGATTTATTCTGGCAGTATTTAGTTACACAATCAAACAGCCATCTGTGTAAGTTTTGAGGTTTTCACGGTGATCACTATGAAGAAAGTCGTCTTCTGGGTTTTGGCGCCGTGTATTCTTCGTTTTGGCCGACGTTTCGGAGGAACATCGGCCAAAACGAAAAATACACGGCGCCAAACCCAGAAGATGACTTCCTTCAAACAGCCATCTGTTTAAATATAATTTTCTTATAGTACCATTTAAGTTTGTAAATCGATGAATGTAATATCTCCAGTCTCTTCTTTCTTCCTACAATATTTCCTTTTCAGTTTCATGCCAGCTTTGTCCTTTATTCTTGATATCTTCCAGTATCAGACTAAATCATCTTGTTCTGGATCATCCTGTAAGTCTCTTTCCTTAAATTTTAATTCAGATGATGTTCTTTGCCCATTCTTTTCACATGATTAAACCATCAAAATCATATTTACTGTTCACTCCATGTTTAACTCTATTCCATCTCATTTCTTCCTCATTACTTCAAAAAAATGTTGTATTAATTTCTTGAATTTTCTATTTTTAAATAATACCCAGAAATATACAAAATATAAAGACTTAAGAACAATATATTTTCAGTTCAGAAATGTCATAAGGCTGTTCAACATATGTGCCATCAGCTTCCAAACGCAGTCTATAGTGCTGAAAAGGGAACACCCACAATGTGGTAACATTATTCTGGGACATTCCATATATTAATATTTTGTGAAATGTTTATAGTTTCTTGTTTTGTTCCTTCAGTTCACAATTGCTGTAATCCTGTAACTCATTAAACTGAGCAAGTTGGCAGACATTGTAATGCTTATGATTTGTATTCAGAAGGTGCTTGGTTCAAAACTTGGCTAGGATACCAACTAACCTGACTGAGGATTTTCATAGATTCTCTCAGTTCTTCCTGGCAAATTCCAGGATTGTACCTTGAAATATTATATTTGAACATATTGTGTATGTGAAATTTATTTATTTATTTCCATCACCACAATAGGAAGTATCGATTCACCATATGTTCACGGTATCTTGTAACATGTTCGGGCTCATTAGGCCATCATCTGTTATTTGACTTTTGTATTCATATGCATTTGTCTGCTGGTGTTCCTACACTGGTTAGTGTTTTCATGTTGTAATACTGGTTTTTACTGATATGCAGTGCCATTATATATAAAAAGATGTGGTGGTTTTGAAGTTGATGGCCATGCTGACAAAAGTTTCATGACAACCTTATACATGACAAAACCTTTCTTCCAAATACAAGGAACAGAAATAAGGAGAAAATGCAAGCACATACCTACAATCCAACTAAATATGTGCTACATTAATACAAATCAGGAAGAATCCCAAAGAAATACGCCGGTAGAAGAAACACATTTACCACAACCACTACTTTCATATAAACATAAGAAAACTTTTTATATAACATTCATTTTAATATCAAAAATTTAACATTTTAACACTTAATACATATATAATCTCAAGGGTGAACACATCTTTTTGTACATAATGGAATTATGTACATACCACTAAAACCAGTTTTCCAATATGTAAACACTGGCCAGTGTCGGAATACTAGCAGAAGAATACATGTGAATGTAAAAAGTCATATACTTGATGATGGCTGAATGAGCCGAAACATGTTATATGAAATGTACGTATGATGAAGCCATGCCTCCTATGATGGTGACAGAATACAGTAAAGAAACTTCCAGAATTGTGCTTTAAATTAGACCATTACTACCTCCTTTCACATCCTCTCCAATTCATTCACTATCATTTAATCATTCAGTGCTATACAGAGTAGGTTACTGACAGTGTCGGTAAATAAACTGAAAACAAATAAAGAAAATTCATCAAGAAATTCCAGGAGTATATTTCATTGTTCACTGTTTACATCTAAGAAATTCCTTAAAGAAAAAGAGATGCAGCGAAGACAAACTGGCAGAAAAGAAATTAATGTACATATAAATTGTGAATCTTCTCTCATATTTAAATATGCCCATGTTTATTCTTATGGATCTAAAACACATCACTGTCTTGTCTTATATGATTACTGCTACAAACCCTGGATGGCAGCATTAAGATTCACAGAGTTGAAGCTGCTGGTTGACAGCTCCTTCTCTTTGTCCTTCTTGCGAATAGGAATGCGGGAAGTGGTGTTAACTGGCCGCTTCTTGCCATGGTTCTCTCCCCACAGATTGGATCCCCCATGTGTGTATGGGATGTTGAGAAGTGCAATGCCTTGCAGGGCCTGCCCATTGGCTAGCTCCAGAGATACTCCATCACACTGTAACAAACATGATAATGGTAACCTATTATCACAAAGTTTCCGTGTCACTAAAGCCTGTTTTTCCAGGAGTTCCACATTTTGGTCACATGTGAATTCTACATTCCCAGACTTTAGGAAATTATATGAAAGCAGAGTTAATTCTAGGCTTAGAGCCATGTCATGAAGGAATATAAGGAGAGTGGATATTCCAAGGCGGGGGTAACTAGTAACTATGACCTACTTAAGGTCATACATTACAGGTAGGAATGGCACCTATCAGCCTGTCACATTTCCTATTGAAAACGATGGAAAACTAGTGAATTGGCACATTAGGGGTGGTTCATTGAAGAAGTATCCTTTACACCAGAACCAGCATGCTAACCAAATAGACAAATCTATTGAAGCTGCACTTCACAATGTGGTAACACACATACAAAGTGCTATTGAATACAAGGACATTGCCCTAGGAGCATTCCTTGACATAGAGGGAACTTTTAATATAACCTCATTTGATATAATAAAACAGGCTGCTGAAAAGCAAAGGATTGGGTCTGCAATATGCAGATGCATATGCAATATGCTGGAAGGCAGGAACATAATTGCTACATTGTCGGGACAGACCCTGGCAGCGTCTGCGGTCAGAGGGTGTCTGTAGGGAGGTGTGCTTTTGCCTTTGCTGTGGAGCCTGTTCATGGACGATCTTCTTTGGGAATTCAACAACAATGGACATTACACAGTAGGATAAGCTGATGATAGAGCAATTCCTTCAGACTGTGTCAGAGGTCTTACAAACAGCCATGTGCACAATACAACAATGATGTGGAAGAACAAATTTATCTATCAACCCAAACAAGACGGTAATTATACCCTTTACTAGGAAGAGGAATATAAAGGGACTTAAGACACCAACCCTCTGAAGCAAAACTATCCAGATATCCAGAGAAGGGACTGACATGGAAAAAACGATCGAACAAGGTTATCAACAAAGCCTATAAGGCCTTTTGGACATGAAGAGACTTGTTTGGGAAAACTTGGGGACTAAAACCAAAGGTATATTGGATATACACTGCTGATGTGAGACCCATAGTTACCTATGCTGCCACTGTATGGTGGCTCAGAGTTAAACTCGAAACAAGCCAGGCAGAACTTAGCAAGTTGCAAAGGATGGCCTGCCTGGGAATTACAGGAACAATGAGAACGGCTGCAACAGCTGTAATTGAAGTCCTCCTTGGACTCCCCCCACTACACCTGCAGGTGGAAGCGGAGGCCAAGGCAGGGAATTACAAACCAATCCTACAGATGGAGTCTGAAAAAATGATACTGAGACATGTCTATGATAAACCCTTCACAATTAGATTCCCTGACAGAAATGAATGGAAAGAGGGGTTTCAGCTTGACAGAAAGCAGGGGATTGATCTGGTATACCGATGGCTCCAAGACAAATAAAGGCACTGGAGCTGGGGTGTATTGCTATTGTACAAGGTGGAAACTTAGTTTTAGCCTTGGGCAGTACACAACAGTATTCCAGGCTGGAGTTGCCAAGAAAGCAGCCAAGGACTGGATGAACAAAAGTCACAGAAAACATTTGGAATCCGTCACTGGACTCAGACAGGTAAAGGGATTCATACTAGGGCCCTCTGCTGGAAGAATGAAGGATCTGTTGAAATTAAATAGAGACCAATTAAGATGGGTGGTAGGGCTATTTGCAGGACACTGTCACCTAAAAGGACACCTTTCCAAATTGAGATTGACAGATGACCCCACTTGCGAAAGGTACCTGGAAGAAGATGAATCAGCCTCACATATCCTATGTGATTGTGAGGCCATAGCTTATTTGAGATTTCATCTCACGGACCAGTTCTTTGTGGAATCAAGTGACTATTATGATGCCCAATTAACAATGTCCTACATTTCATTTGAAGTGTAGGATTAATAAAGGGTTAAACAAAAGGGGAAGTACAGTAGATCATTGATGGTCACGGTGTATGAGCTGGATTATTATGGCCCACCCCTCATTCATTCATTCATTCATTAATTCAAGATATTCCCGACACAAGATGAAGGAAAATTGTTAGCTGACACCCCAATTACCTTTCCCTCAATTCAGGAAATTACATTCTTCTCAGTACGAGACTGGGTGGATTCAGTGCTGCTATCGAAAAACTGTTTCATGGCTGCTCCACATCTGTGTGTTTCTTGTTCCAGTTTGTTTAATGATGCTTTCTCAACTGCATAGATTATAGAGTATCAGATATTTTAATTTGATGCTACATAATCTAATGACTGTGAATCATAAATTAGAAACAGTATGAAAGGAGATTATTGACTTTTGGGATGTGACGCTGTGTAAACTTGTAGAAGCTTACCGATGTTTTGGAAGAACAGTATTTCCCACATTTTTAGGGTAGAAGAGATTTTTACACCAAAGACAGATCCAGCAGGTTCCATTGAAACATCATCGTATCTAAAGAGACTGAGGTAAGCCATAAGCACTGGGGCCAATAATTGAACCCAGTAGCTTATGATTACAAATCAGAAGTGCTAACCACTTAGCCATGTGAATAATATAAAATCATTTGTACAACTGAGAACTTTTCTCCAGAGTGTCCAGACCAGCTCAGGAGTCAACCAGTCCCCTGTTCAGTGGAACTGGGGCTCTTTCTTTTCCTAGGGGTAAAGTAACTGGGCCATGAAACTACACCCTCGCTTCCATATAATTTTTAGGTGAAGAATATTTGGAGCTATACCTCCACCCCCCCCTTCTTCTTCTTCTTCACCTGGCTTAATTGAGCAAGAGACAATTCTACCTTTACTTTTGCAGTAAGATTTTTGAAGGAAAGACAGACTTGTAGGAAAATGCATACTACATGTTTGCATGTTTAATAATTGTTGTATGGTAGCTTGTGACTATGTTGATGTTTAGATCCCTTGCAGTTCAAAAATCTGAGTGAAATATAATACTCCTGATGCTCTAAGATGAACAGATGAACAAGTAAATTTTTCCTTTCTCCTTTTTGAGAATTGCAAAAACTGAAGACAAAACTGACAATAAACTGAATGGATGAGTAAAACTGTCAGGCATTGTTGTTGGTGGTAGTAGCAAATATGACAGTGCACTAATTTTGTTGTGTGACTATTAGAAAATCTATTAATTTAAAATGTGTTAACTTTATACACACACATATAACTCTTGATTATGAAAGTTTACAATTGAACGTTTTGCATTCAGGCCATACACACTTCTTACATTTTTAGTTGCACAGCTGTGTACAATTTTGGATCACACTAACTCCTGGTTTCCTAATATCAAACCTGGCTCATTTACAAAACAATATCCCAGTATCCAATTGCACCCATTCAGTTATTCTTAGGACAACATTCATATACACATAGGGGTCATGCCATTTCACATGCAATTTGGGACATGAATGGGTTTATAAACGACAGCTTATGTCAAGCGAAGTAGGTTGCCAAATATTACCACATCAAAACAGAAGGAGTGAGAGACGTTAGACATTATAAGTTACCAGTATATCAAGATCTTCATGGAGATTCTTACAGGAAGCTGCAAACTGTTCTGAAGTTGCAAATTCAAAATACCAAAGTTTGTTCTTCATTCGACTGTTGAACTTCTCTGGATTCTTCTCTCGTTCAAGATGAAACTTCACACATATTGCAGCGTCCTGAAAATTTTCATTTTATTTTTAGTAACACAGCCAGTACGCATAAGTGATCTTAACTGTAGAGGTTCTCTAAGTAGCATCAGAATATCTTGATTTTGTACCTAAGAAAAACTCTGAAAACAGCCTTCTTTTGATTCACAAAGCAGTCCTACATCTTTCATCTAAAAGTCTTCTAGAGCAAATGTTGCCATATTGGCTTGTTAGCCGCGTCTTGAACATGTTACTCCATCCAGCCAAATCCACTTTTGTTAGCTGTGATTTGTGGACATTCTAATTGGCATTGCCCAGGAAGTTAGGTGTAAATTGTGAACAAGAACATTTAATCCACACAGTTCTGCAGTTAGACGATGTTCTTACTTTATAGAAAGCTATCTACATTTGTTTCATGCAGCAGTAGGTTAAACCACTTATACCCTATGTATCTTTCTTAGAATTTTTAATGAACTTTAATGATCTGGCCCCCAGACTGTATTCTGAATGAGAAATTAACCTTCATGAAAAATTAAGTGCTGGTTATTGCAATAGAGAGAAACCTTGTTATAGTAGAGCTAAAATTTTACAGTCATTTGGATTTATATTTTATGTAAGTCAGATATGGGCTTGATGAAGGAGAATGTATGAATAATGAAAGATGTGAATGTAATGAAGCTTCCAGGAATAGAAAAAAGGTATATTTAGAAGGTGAAATTCATGAGCTATTAGAATGAGGTGAAGAGTGATGTTTATGTTATGGTCTCTCATATCATATGTGGGTGTAGTCCATGAGAGTACTGGTGTAGTGGAATACAAATGTTACAGATGTATTTAATAGAATTTTCTCACCACTCCTACTGAAAAGTAATTGTTGATGATATTATAAGGGATGGGGTCGCCTGGAGGTGAACCATCATCCTTCTGTTCTGACACCTCTATATGCCATCGGTCCATCAAAACAGTACTGGCTCGCTCAATTTTCTGCAACATAGACATGAGCAAAAGATTTTCAATGTTGTTGAATTGAATTGAATTTATTTACATTCTATAAATCCTAAGCAGGTTAGTACCTTTGGATACAGAACAAGTCAAAAGGTTACATACATAAGTACAGGCAATTTTAGCTTAAAAATTAATATAACTTAATTTTACATCATTCTCTATTTACATTGAAGTATTCATCTAAAGAGTAGAAGGAATGAGCATGTAGATAATTCTTTAACTCTGATTTAAACTTTTTAGTATCATTGCCCAAGTTTTTAATACTTTGTGGCAGATTGTTGAACACTTTTATGCCAGTAAAGTAGACTCCTTTTTGATATACTGATAAAGTTGATGAGGGTAGGTGGAAGTTATATTTTTGTCTAGTATTCATGTTATAGACATCAGAATTTAATTTGAATTTATCTTTGTTGTAAACAACAAATAAGAGAAGCGATAATATGTATTGCGATTGAAGAGGTAGAATTTTTAATTTCTTAAATAATTCTCTACATGAATCTCTACTTCTACATCCTGTAATGATTCTAATTATATTCTTTTGTATTTTAAAAATTATTACACTATGTGAAGAGTTCCCCCAAAATATTAATCCATAGTTCATAATAGAATGAAAGTAGGCATGGTAAACCATCTTCAATGTTTCCTGTGACATAAAAGGCTTAATTGATCTCATCGCATAGCAAGCTGCATTTAATTTAGGTATAATTTGTTCAATATGTATTTTCCAAGACAGTGTACTGTCTACATGTATTCCAAGGAATTTTGTATCAAGTACTTTACAGATTAATTTGTTGGCATAACTGATGTCCAGATCAATTTGGTGGTTGTTTTTAGTTGTGAATGATATGTAATGGGTTTTATCAAAATTTAATGAGAGTAAATTGGCTTCGAACCATCTGTTTAAGGCTTCAAATACAATATTTATGTCATTTTTAAAGTTTTCAAATTTAGAGTTCTTAAATATTATACTAGTGTCATCTGCATATAGAATTGGTTTAGATTTATTGTTGATGGTTTTAGATAGATCATTTATGTAGAGAAGAAAAAGTAAGGGACCTAAAATTGATCCTTGTGGAACACCGTGCTTTATAATTCCCCAGTTTGAAAATGCATTATGACTGGAGTTTTTATTATTTATTTCAACTCTTTGATACCTGTTTTTGAGGTATGATTTGATCCATTCATTAGCTTTGCCAGTTATTCCATAGAAATTTAATTTCGATAGTAAGATATCATGATTAACACAATCGAAAGCTTTTGCTAGATCACAGAAAATCCCTCCCACAATTAATCTGTCATTGAGAGCACTTAAAATATCGTTAGTTAGTTCATAGGTTGCTTTTTCTGTTGTTAGGTCTTTCCTAAATCCAAATTGCTCTTTGACTAATATGTTGTTAGAATTTAAGTGTTCAAGTAGTCTATTATACATAACTTTTTCAAAGACTTTTGAGAATGAAGTCAATATGGATATTGGTCTGTAATTAGAGATGCATTTTCTCTCTCCTTTTTTAAAAAGTGGTTTCATTACAGCGTATTTTAAGCGTTGAGGAAAAGTACCTGATGATAAAGATTTATTACATAGATGATTCAAGGGTGAACTGATGTAAACAGAGCTTGCTTTAAGTAATTTGGTAGAGATTTCATCATATCCATGTGAATTTTTGGGCTTAAGGGATTTAATAATGTTTTCAATTTCCTTCCTTGTTGAGAATTTGAGATTGATATTTGGAAATGAATTGTTAAAGGCACGAGACAGATAGTATATTGGATTATTATTATTATTATTATTATTATTATTATTAGAATATGTTTTCTCAGCTAATGAAAGGAAATATTCATTAAATGCGCTTGCGATAGCTTGTGGATTGTTAGTGGACTTCCCTTCAATATTCAAACTTTGTACGTCTTCATTAACAGATTTCTTTCCTGATTCAACTTTCACAATATCCCAGGTGGTTTTAATTTTATTGTTTGATTTTAGAATTTGGCTGTTATAGTTATTCTGTTTGGCTTCTTTAATGACTTTTGACAAAATTTTACAGTACATTTTGTAGTGACTTTTTAGTCTTGGATCATTACTGTCCCTACTAACAGAAATGGACGTCGCGGAGGAGACATCAGACAAAGAACAGCAGCCAACTTACAACAGGTCAGGTAGGCCTCCTCCCATTGTCCTAACCTCTGCAACTAACCTGATACAGTTGCAGAGGAATATCAAAGGCATTGTTAATGGCAGTTTTGAGTTCCGCAACACAAGAAGTGGGACCAGAATTCTCACAAAAGAAGTGGCGGACTTTCAGCCATAAAGAAATTCCTTGAGCATTGCAATCTGGCTTACTTTTCCTATTTTCCAAAATCCAAAAAACCCATTAAAGCTGTCATCCGTCACCTCCCCCAAAATTCTCCAGCGGAGGATATCTCTGACGGTCTGGTGAGTCTGGGTTTTGACGTTATTAACGTCAAACAAAGGACAACTAGTCGTCGGACGTCTCCGGAAGGAGCAAGGTCCATCAACCTCCCCCTGTTCCTAGTAACCTTCCAAAGAACCGAAAAGTCCCAAGTGCTCTTCCTGTTAACCAACCTCTGCCACATTGCCATCAAGGTAGAAGTCTACAAAGCGCAAAACGGGATTACACAATGTTACAAGAAACAGGTCGGTCAGTTCAGGTTACTCATGTACGCGGGCAATCTCTCGACAATATGTTGAGAGTAGTAACTGCAGTACAGCAGATTATGACAGAGGTCAGTGGTGCAGTGTCCGAGGAGGACAAAATAATGGCCATTACCAAAATTGTTGTAAACCTTATGAAACAAAATGGCCACTAGGGTTCATAGGCCCCTCAAAGTCATAGCATTTAATGCAAACGGCATTGGGAGGCAGCGCTATGAGCTTAGAAAGCAGCTGCAAGACCTACACGTAGGTGTGGCCCTGTTTTCAGAGACACATCTGAAACCTCATGAGAGGTTCTTTATTCCAAATTACCACTTTTATAGAATCGACCGCCACTCGTGCAGAAAGGGCGGAACTGCCGTTGCAGTAAGAAAAGGCGTTCCCCATAACCATGTAGTGAGCCGTGCTAAGCCTTAGCCCGCTCACGATGAGGTCATCATCCTTCCTGTGACGGATTCCATCCCCACCATGCGGTACCCTGACGTCAGTCACGTGGTCCCATGTACCCTCTTGTGAAGGGGAGACTTGTACAGTGTAGTCGTTTAGACCAAGTCGACTTGGAAGGTTGTTTACTAGCCAGCAGGTTTGTGGTGGAAAATATTGGTTTCGGCTGGGGCTGTTCTAAATTCCCTTTGGTGTTATCTGCTGGCCGGTAAGGACTGCCTGCGGTCGCAAGCCGTTGTTTGAACGCTTGCGACGCGCGTATTAGATTTTGGTTTGGTTTTTTTAGTCTCAGAATTTAGACTTGCGTTTGTATGGCCGGAGGGCTTAACGTCTTGGTATTTCTAGCGTCGACACAAGTGGTGCCGACGGGAAATTGTTAGTCTAAATGAGCCTGTCTTTGTTTCTTGGTCAAATGTGTCTTTTGTTATTTATGTATTGTTATATTTTGTTATTAAATTGTATCTGGTTTTATCTTAGCCACTGAACTGAGTGTAGCTTCCTCCTCCTAGCTTGGATACCCCATCTCCATCTAGGGGAGCGTGGGAACCAACAATAGAGCCAGTAACGATTGCGCTGTGCCCTTCCTCTTCGTA